TTTTTTACGAAGTTTTGATACGTGCAGTTGTTTTTTACGAAGTTTGGATACGTGCAGTCTTTTTCGAAATTTGATTAGTGCAGTGTTTTTTTCGAAGTTTTGATTAGCGCAGTCTTAATTAATTAATATAGTTTAACATGTATACAATGTTAAATTATAATAATAAATATAATAATATTATATGAATAATGATTCTAACCTAACATTCTAACATATATATAATATTATAATTTTATAATTATAATATTAATAATTATAATAATAATATTATAACAGGGAAATGTTAAACAATATAATAAATATAATAATATATATTATATTAAAATAATAATTCTAACCTAACATTTTAACCACAAACATTGCATATCCTTTTCACAATGCAATGTTTCTTCTTTCTTTTTCTTTTCTTATATTCTTTTTTTATATTAATCTCATTCCTATTTCTTTAAATAAAACATAAATTAAATATTTAACTAATAAACCTATTTCAAATTGAAAAAAAAAAATTGTAAATAATTATTATACTATTATGTAACAAATAATAATAATTTCATATTAAATTTCTTTTTTGTGTTTATACAATAATCGTACGATTTTATCTCGTAATAAAAGCAATTCATGTTATCGTAAAATAGTTACGTAATATTAATATTGTAAAATAATTAAAATAGTTACTCATATATACATATATATATATATTTTCCTATCATTGATTATTTAAATAAATATGCTTTGGCATTTCCTATTCTGATTAGAAGAATCCGTCAATCTTTGCGTCATGTTATATTCCTTTTGTTTTTTTTTTTTTTCTTATTTTTATTTTCTTTTTTTTATATTCTAATTATTACTAATCGTTAACTGGTCAATATAATATGATGTTTAAATCTATGATCATAATTATGTAACTAGGAAATGATAAACTAATAAACGTTTTGTAATAATCACGCTAAAGTTTATAATAAAAATAAAAAAAATAAAAAGAAAATAAAAATAAAATCTAAATCGAACAATCTGTCTCAAAGACATTGAGATTTGTTCGTGACATAGTTCGTGTTTTTATTTTAATTAATTGAGAAATTATAAAGTTGTTGTAAAAATGAATAAATTAAAACGCACACACATGTCAGGGATATTTATTGTAAAATATAAATGTGTATTTTTTTGTTTTGCGTTTGTTATTTTTCTTTTCTTCTTTTTCCAGTATTCTTTTTCAAAATTTTGATTAACGCAGTGTTTTTTTTACGAAGTTTTCATTCACGCAGTTGTTTTTCGAAGTTTTAATTAGTGCAGTCTTTTTACGAAGTTTTGATTCGTGCAGTTTCTTTTTCGAAGTTTTGGTACGTGTAGTGTTTTTCGAAGTTTTGATTAGTGCAGTATCTTTTTCGAAGTTTTGATTAGTGCAGTCTTTTTCGAAGTTTTGATACGTGCAGTGTTTTTTACGAAGTTTTGATTCGTGCAGTGTTTTTTACGAAGTTTTGATTCGTGCAGTCTTTTTTGAAGTTTTGATACGTGTAGTGTTTCTCGAAGTTTTGATTAGTGCAGTCTTTTTCGACGTTTTGATTCGTGCAGTTTTTCTA